CAGGCGATGCGTGTGTGCACGAGGCCTTCGAACGGGCAGGGTCGCTCGGCCGTTAGTCCCACCCACTCATGTGACAGACACCCCCGGCAGGTTCGTAGAACCGTGAGAATAAATAATTAAACCCGGTGATTTAACATTATGTCGATAGAATTAATAGTTAAGCAGACCGGATTAATAATCAAAATGGTTCTTGCTAAAAATTCAGTTGAGGTTAATCAAAACTCGTTTTCTCTTAATACAGAAGCTGCTGTGTGGGCTGCCAGGGCCTGCACAGCCACCACAGCACAGCCCCACACGCCCAGGCCTGTCCTGGGCCTGAACCCTTCACAAGGCTTTCTAAGCATGGGGGATGATCTCTCCCAAGGCCACGCAGAGGTTTCCCATGAGGCCTGGGGAAGAAAACGAGAAACACTGTTGAAGTCAAGGCAACCTTGATGGGTGCTGGAAGCGTTTGGCCTACGTGGCCTGTCAGGGCCCAGTCCTTGAGGCTGTGAAACATTTGCGTGTTACTGGCTTTGGGCTCTGAAATGGAGGACAATTGACAGTTTCCCTTGAGAGGAGCTTGAGAAGAAAGCTCCTGCCATGGTTCCTTACACACACCGTGGGCACAGATTGAACCAGGTTTGGCTCCCACATTGTCCTATCTGGGCTTGTACCCCCAAACACCCATCTGCTGCATCTAAGCAACTGGCAATATCAGGCATGACACAACCCTCTTGTTATTTCACATATTTCGTAAGCAAGGTGCCTGCTCCCAGAATAATGATGGCCTGTGGCTGCAGAGGTGTGCCAGGGAGATTCAGGCCAAGCGGTTTTTGGTGTTCCTGCAGCCCATCTTCCCCGGAGGGTGCTAACCCCCAGCAAACAGGGACAATTGGCCCCGAGGCAAGGATTTTGTCAGTCTTCGGTACAGAGAAGAAAGACAGCCTCCCCCAGCGCTCATCCACCAGGCGTGAGGATGACACAGGGTAAATCTCCCCCACTCCGTCCCACTCTTTGCAGCAGGGAGCCCTGGATGCAGCCCTGGATGCCGGGCTTCGGCAACCCACTGTAGTGGTGCTGAGCAGCAATGCAATGGGCTGTTCATATTATCATACCACTTCCAGTAGTAAAGTCTAAGCCTGCTGTTGGGTACAATTTTGTTGCACAAGCGTTTTGGGGGAGCTTGACTGAAACAGTTGGTGAGTGTCAAGTGTCAGGGCAGACTCACCAGCCTCAATGCTTTTGCCAGTAGGCTATGGCACCTTCTGGGAATCTGCTTGGGTGAGGATCTCAGATTTCTGGGCAAAACACCATGCTGTGCAGGAGGACTCCCATGTATGGCCTGTCAGTCTGACTTGGCAGGTCTGGAGGGGACAGCTGTTAATATGCTTGGGTTTCTGGTTTTTAAACGTTTTAGATGGAGTTGGTGTTTGAACATAATACAACACAAGCTTGGAGCCTTTTTGTTTAGCTGAGCAGCGCATATATCTTGTGAAATATTTTAATGCTGACTCTTTAGTATAGTGGCTGGGCTTTCTGTTCTGTTACTGTAATCATTAGAAATAAAAATTAAACATTGCAAAATGCAGGAAATTACACTTGGCATTTCATAATTGGCTCTAGAACTCTGTTAATGTTTAATCTTCACTTTTGTTGGGATGCTACCGGCTTGCTGAAACTGTAACAAAACAAAACAAAACACGCCAACCCAGCCCTGAGGGGCTGCAGTGCTAGTATTTGTGGCGCCTAGATGCAATGCCCAGTTAAAACACCTGAATCCCCAGCTCTGCCCTGGATTCTGTAGCCCCCAGGTCACACACAAATATTTTGCTATTCTTGCTTCTCTGCTTTGTAATTTTTTTGCCTTGATCCTCTCTTGGGGCTGTTCTCGGCAGAGGGCAGCCTTGTCAAACCCATACGCAAACCAGCGGGCATGTTGTATTTTATGTTTTTCTTGCTGCTGTTCTGTGACCCTCGTGGGTGATGTCCTGTGGAAAGGCGGGAATTTTCCATCCTAAACACCTGCGATGTGTGGGGCTGGTTGCTGACAGTGATATGGCCGTTCCCCAAGCAGGTTCAGGTTTGTGAGGGGAATTATTACTGTGAGAAAATAAAGCAATCATCCTGACAAATTTTAGTTTGAATTTTAGATGGGTTTTTTGGGAAAAAACGGAAAGCCATTTTCAAAGACATTCTAGTCCTTCGTGTAGGTGGTCTCTGCTTTTTGTACAAAAGGAGAGGTTTCATAGTCATGTACAAGAGTTAGGTGCTGTGCTTGTGTTGATAGTCACACATCCATGTGAGCTGTGTTTTTCACTCCTCAACATCCTCTTAAAGCTTCCAGGCAGAACTGTCTGTGTTTCTTTCCTGGATCACATGTCTGAGGATAGTTATTTTATGGTATAGTAACATTTCTCATTAGCATTTTCACATTAAATCCCCATTTTGCAGCATTTTTCAGACATCAGGACAAGCTTTTCTACATTTTTCAGTCTTAGCTGTAGTTGTTGCATTGTTCTGCATCTTTGGTTTTAATGCATAGTAAAAATACAGGGCAGATGCTTACTAGGCCTAAATTGTCCTTTGAAATGAATGGATTTACAACAAATTACACCAGATTAGAATCAAAATATTTAATTGAATTACAACCAACGTGTCCGTTAAACTAAGCCAAATAAAAGGAATATCCTTCATGAAATATTCAGCAACAATTCTCTTAGTCAAATCATGCACTGCTTATCTTGGCAAAAAAACTTCTGAGATTCTCAGTAAAAGCAGTTTTCTTTCATCTTTATCAAGATCTGTTTTCATTTAACCTTATTCACAGAAATGATTTCTAAATCTGTTTTAAAAACATACTGTCCTGCCACGATAAAACTAACAAACAGGACCAGACTGAACAGTGAACCATGTCACCAGTTTTGCAGCAAAGGGGCTTGGTACCAGCTTTTCCTGACACAAGAAGTTACTAATAGATGCTCATGTTGACAAACAGTCATGTACTGAGAACTTCTGAAAAAACATAAAGGATGAGATGGGAGGAGAGGCACACAAGGCTATTGATTTTAATTAATGCATGTAATTTTGAGGGCTAATATTGCCAGAATTGCAAAAGAGATCATGCATAGAATGTGACTGGTGCATCCAGTGGTGCAGAACGGTCTTTCAAGACAGGCAGCAGTCATAAGACCCCTATCACAAGCGAATGAAAGAAGCTAAATCAGCTAAATCTGGCTTTCTTGACCTTGAACCAAACAACCAGCTTCATAGTTCTGGGTTGGCAGCTTCCCATTTCCTAACCAATGTCCACAGTCATGTCTGAGGGAAGCTCTTCCGTGGGATGCCAAAACACGAGCACAGACAAGTTTTGCAATTTTGCTGTTGCTTTTGACAACATTGCATTTGGGGAAACAAAACAGAGCCTTCTCATAAGCAAAAGTTCTAATTTTGCCTTCAAAGCTTTTGATGAATTGTGATTTTTTTTGTGTGTAACATTGCACACTCTGATGCACCGAGTAACAGCTTAAGCCAAAATACAATACTGCAATCTTAACTCACAAAACCTTTCATCTCATCCACAGTGAAAGAAAACAGTGCCCCTGCCTTGCCTCTGATTTCACGCCAAGAGAAGCTCCTGACTGCTGCTTGTCAGAGCCCCTCCTCGGCTCTCGTCCCTCGCCCTCCCGTGCTGGCGCTCTGCGTGGAGCAAGGTGAGTTTGCTAAGACCTGTCTTGTTCTCCATGCCTGTGGCACGGGCCAGCTGACGGGTGAGCAAGCTCCCCATCATCTTGTGCAGGGTCTGCTCCCTGCCAAGCCGTGCCTACCCAAGCTGGGGGCGCCCCAAACTGGGCCCGAGCGGCTCCTCCCCCGACGTAGGCAAGGTTACACCTCTCTTCCCTACGCCTGTCAGCGAACAGCTGGACTTCTCTGGTTACATGTGTGCAACCATTTAAAAAAAACATCCAGGCTGGCTTACTCAGCAGATTATAAAAGAGTGATTTACAAAATGCGGCTTTCTACCAGATCAGCCCGTGCCGTTGTATTTATGTGACTGAAGGTCTCAGCTGATCCCTTCTTTTCTTGTGCAGCCAAGAGGTTTGCAGCAGCAGCAACAGCCACGGCCAGTACAATACTGTAAGTCACTGGGAATGTTTTTTTCTCTCAGTTTGGAAGGGGTTGGTGTTTGGCGTATCAGATCCGTAACACTTACCATATTTTTCTAGCATAGAAAATGAAGAGTCTCTTCTGCTGGGGCTGTGACTGTACTGCCCTGCAAGACGCAGCAGCAGTGTGGTGCCTGTTTTATAACAGCAGCATGAATGAATGATGCAATCATGCAGGGGGAAAGCATCATCATTTTGTCAGGACAGGCACGAGTGGATTGGAGAGTTGGGAGGTGTATGTCAACATCCATCAGGTTCCTTCTAGCCCTTTTCAACTACTTTTTAAAAGGTGCTTAAATAAATTCACTGTTAGGCACTGCTGTTCAAGTATTAGTGTATAGCTGCAAACAATTCATCTCTTGACTTGCATACAGGTTTGTATTACTACCTTTAAAAACTGAACTGAAAACCAGGAAGTGTGAAGCAAGCTTAGTGAGGTTAAGGACTGAATCTTTCTATTCTCACACTGAAAACCACAGAAACTCACAATTATGGATGGATGGGTTGAACTTTTAAAGAATAGTACTTGCAGGGATATAAACAGCAGTCACAATTTGCTTAAATATAACTAATCTGCTTAAATGTATCCCCTTTCCTCTGAAGCTTTCAAAACATATTGCTAATACTGAGAGTTAAACCTCAGCATAGAAAAGCTGTATCACTATATTACTCCCATTTTACAGACATAGGACTAGAAACAACAAGGATTAAGTGGTTTGTTTAAACTAATACCATGGAAACACTCCTGAGCAGGACCACTCCTGTAGTGGGAACAGGTCCCGAGAAGTGTTTCAAGAACTATTTTCTCCAAATCCCTTACTCTAAGCAGCAGTTTCCCTTCAATGCAACAGAAACAGTTTAATGTGGTCGCATTTCTGTTAATCTCACTGCATGTTCAATGCAATGTTACTCTGCTGCAGGAATGTATCTTGGAGTGTATCTCAGTGAAGTGCTCACTCTCCCCTTGTTAAATGGGAAAGTGAATCAGAATCAGAAACACCAGAAACTGTTTGCAAATTAGGATATCCCCAAGTGATCTGTTTAAAAAGATATTTTAGGTAATATTTCATTAAGATTCACTTAATCTTCATTTTTTCACAGCAATAAATGTGAACATAATACAAAGTAGCAGCGTGGCAGCACTTCTGAAAGCTGGAATATGATAACAAGTGAAGTCTAGTCACAATGAGGATTTTGAGATCTCGTCAAGATCTCATCAAAATATACCAGCCCCAGAATACCTGGAGTTCTGAGTACCATTTACTTGTTCCTTTTGCATTATATGCAGCAGATACTGCGGATGTTTCAGTTTTTCACAGTGTGGCAAGTGCCCTTCTTTGAAGGGTCAGCAAACAGAAAACATTTCAGTTGTTTTCCTTTGACACGTGGTCTTACATAATTCCTGTGCTCGCTTCTGTGACTCCACCCTCTCTGTTACAAAACAGAACTATTTCTTGTGGAAATGCCGGTTTTTTTCCCAAATGGCCTAATGAAGTACTTCATAGTCTGGAAGCAAGGAGATCGCATGGGAATTCCACTTTTCCCTTGTGACTTCCTTTTTCTCCATCTTTATCTCAAGTTTCACCCTACCTCTCTCCCTCTGTCACTCTCTTCTTGTGTCTTCTCTAGTCACTTCTTTGCCCATTGTTTATTCTCTTCCCCATATTCTTTTTTTCAGCTTTTCCCCACAATATTTTATTATCAGACCTGTTGAAATGTTTGCTCCTTGGATGCTTTTCCAGCTTGCAAATAATAGGATAGGGATAGATTACCTATCTGAAATTCAATGGCAGAAAGATCAGGGATTTTCTACGCATGTTTTTCATATGGAGACAGAACTTATTATTTGTGGGAATTTCTTTTTTCTTACCGTCTCATTAAAACATTGACACATTTAAGCAATCAGATGCCCTGTATTTCAGAGTAATTTAATCTCTGCCAACTGTAGAGGCCTATACCACTCTGGAACAAAAAATTGCTGTTCCCTTACTACAGCTGGTAGATATTTGTCCATAGAAAGGTTTTACACAGCTTCAATTCTTTTTGCTCATGTTTCCAAGTGACACCTACCTGTGGAGAAGCTACTGTGTCTGTCCTTATTTCCTATGCGCACTTACCTGGAGGTGAATTCTAGGCAGCTTCCTGGTGGATGACATGCCAGGATAGCCCAGTGAAAATTCTGAGAACAAGGGAAGGAGCAGAACCTCTCCTGCTTGTATTTCTCCCCACTCCTGTTGCCCATTACTCAATCACTAATAGCCTTGCCTTATGTTCTCATCTACATTTAGGGCTGGGAAAAAACATTCACAAGTTACTGAAATTGGCATGTTACCATTGGAGTGGCATTCGCCAGCCCTTGGAGCTGATGGTGACCCCTGGAGCTCTGCCAACAAGGGCAGAAGAACCTTATTTCACTCCATGTGAACCACCTTTAATTCCTAAAAATTGCTTTCCCCACCAGCAAGACTCCCTGCAATAGCTGAAGCTTCCTTCATGGGTTCTCCTTTTTGCTCCTGTATGAGCTTCCCTACTTTACAGTTCATCACAAGTTCTCCAACATGTGTAACGGTACATTAGCCAAAACCAGGTCTGTGTTTTCCAGGGCTCAGTGCCCAGCTATAGCAGAAAGTGGAAAGATTTTAGCAGGTCACAGGCCAAGGGAGATCAGGAACTACTGATGGTTTCTGCATTTCAAAACACAATTCTCCCCTTCCAACTTGTCATTTTTAGGCACCATAAACCACAGCTTGAAACTCTCTTGAAAAGAGTTATTGCATGGAACAAAGAGAGGACAGGGTTAATTCCAACCATGGCTGCACAACTAGTATCTGTAATTCTTCCTCTAACTTGTCTATTTGTCCATCAAAGTGCAAAGGCCACCACAGCAGTGGTCTTGTCATTGTAAGGAGCATCTAGAAGGGAAAGGAGTATGGAAATGTGGATACCAGGGAGAAAGAAAAGTTAATGTCTCTTCCTTCCTGCTCCCAATGTGTGTTTCTAGTGATAACATTTTTCTCAGAGAGATTAAAATTTTGAAGACACGTATCCAGAAATATATTTCAGGTTCTCACCAAGAAATCACATCACAGTGCGGTGTCCCCACACAGTGACATTGCATCATAATGTGGCAATGTTGCAGTGCCTCAGGTTAGCATGAGGCAATGTGATGGCTTTGCGTAATAAAGAATCAGTGTTGGAACACCGTGATGCAAATGTCACGCCACAGTGATGCAACAAGTTTGTCCAGTAGAGCAAATCTTTAAAATTGGCACCAAACCCATGGCTGAATTTTTGGTAGACTTTATAATTTCCAGTAGGCTGGAAAAAATTAACGCTCTGCCATTTACAAGATGTTAGTGGATGGGGTTTTTTTTAATTGCACTGCACAAATATATCTAGCAAATGGCTGTCAAGGCCTGCCCTGAAGTCAAAGTCCTCCTGCTCAGAAAATCAAAATCTTCCACTGAAAATACAAACGCAGTGCTGTGGAGTCAATGTCAAGTCAAGGCTAACGCAAAGTAAACTTGGAATTCACGTGTCACCTGTCCACCTACTGCCGAGTCTTAGCTCAGAAACAGTCTCTGTCAGAGGGAAGTTTTTGTGTCCATAGTCACTTAAGTGAGAGAGGTTTCTCTTATGTGCCGTGCTGATGGCATATGACTGTATTTCTTATTTGTACAGTGCAGTCTTTATAGAGGAATATAAAAAACCATGTGCTGTCTGCAGCAAATAATTCTTCAGCGATGCTTCTAAGGCTAGACCAGAGTTTTACAATAGGTCCGTGCATGGAAGAGCAGAGACCTGTCAAACTATGGTTCAGTCCTTGTTTCTGCCCTTCCCAGAGGTGGAGTTTGTAAAAGCCCTTTTCTGCACTATCTCCTCTTTACTGCATACCCACTCACCTTTGCTTTCTGGCACACTGGGGAGGTTGAGCCCAGGCTCTGTCCTACCTTCCCACACCTGAACCGAATGCACAGGAGGGAAATATGGGCTGGGTGATGCTTTCCCATTCTCACTCACACCTGCGATGCAGATGAGTACTGAGGAAGCTCCTGTGTCACATTCTCGGCCTTGGGCAAAAGCCACGAACCCACTTTGGTTACTATAGCAGTGTGTTCACACCAAAAACCTCAAGAATAGCTAGAACGACCCTCTCAAACAGTACTGTTTCATGGCTGCCTTTGGATAGCTTTGCCTTTAATGTGACTTCCTCTCTCTGTTTCTTGCTATTTCATATCTACCTGTTTGTTAAACAGAGATTCTCTCTTACAGATATGGCTCTTAGCTGTTCACAACAGGTTTCACCACTTAGGTTTGGTGGCTTCATTTATACAGACTTTTACCTTTCAATGAAGGACTGGAGTATTCTCTTTTATTCTATACACATGAACAGATAAAAGATGAGTGTGTGTTCTATACTTTTTTTCAGTGATTATGGTAATTTTTCGTAAAGCCTTTTGTATCCCAGTATTCACCATACGGTTACTAGTCGTGTGAATAAAACCAAAGGTTCCTGTTCCTGCTTTGACCATTAACTATTTAGCTGTGACCTCTCAGTGAGCACACAGGTCACCTCAGAAAACAGCACTGGTGCCTACCATGTGTGATCCCTGGATGACTCCTGTCTGGCAGTGAGCTACATCAGTACGGATCAGCTCCTGTACTTTTCCACAGCAAAGTACATAGGGATCATTTTCTCCATCTTCACTGAATGTCTTTTGTATCTGGGGGTGCAAAGTTTGTCCAAAAAGGGCAAAAAATAAATGTTTTGTGGGAACTTGTGTGAGTAAGACCTCTCACCATCAAACTTCACATGATATATAGGAGAAAAAGAAATTAGCTTAGTGAGAGGAAAACAAAAGATGAAGGTATATAACGTGATGAAGGTATGTAACATGCTGTTCGATGGTATTTTTTCCCCTATCCCAGAAAAAGAGAGAACCTGCTACCCAGACCAATTACACAAGACGTGTTCTGAGAGGAGTCTAGGAGATTAGAAGAAACAACCAAACAAAAGCTTTTACAGAAATCTGGGAAATGGTATAGATGGAAAGCTGAAAGATTATTTACCAATCTAAATGTACAGATTGGTAAATAGTGAAGTCCACACAATTCCCTTATGAAAGGCGAAGCACAAGGTGAGCAGGGTAGAGTAAGAAAATACCTGATTAACACTTTGTGCTTCTGATCTGCAGAAGAAGTAGTGCTCAACAGCACTTTTAAGTGGACAGATATAAAAGGGAAGAAAATAAACTTTTGTCAGGCATTGTAATGGAAAAAGTTGTGTCATGATGTTGTGATATCTTAAGGCATGAGTGAAGTTCCCAAAGCCCAAGACTTTATTGGGTTTTATAAAAGACTAATTCCCAATGCTAATGGCCAAATCTTCTATGCCTTCAGAGATGATGCGAATATTTAGTTTATATTAATCAGGACATAGAAAAGGATCTAAACCTTCATGATTTAGGGACAACCACTCACTGATAGGTTTAAAATAGTTATGTCTACTGCGATCAAGCAAATCCTTAAGGGCTGGGTGTCTTTTACTATCTCCTGGAGCAACTAATTTACCACACTAGACTGGGTCTGATGAGAAATCAAGATCCATCTGAGTGGTGAGGGCAAGATGAGACAGAGAATTGCAAGTCCCACACAGCAGTTGGCTGTCTGATGGTTCAGCAAATGCCAAGTATTACAACCTTGAACCCCATGTGAACATGAATGGGCCGAGCCTGCAGAGAGCAAATCAGCAACTGACAGGGCTCCACAGCCCACCTGTAACGTAAACTGAACATCAGTAGGCAGCAACAGGAGAGAGCAAATCAGCAACCGAGCCAGACCTCCACCACTGCTCACACTCTTTGATAAAAGCTGGCTACCAGGCTGTGCTTGTCCCTACTTGCAAGAACCAGATCAGTTGTGCCAATGGCTCAAGACGGAGTGCAGTACTGTCACTTAGAGAAAGACTTTATCTTGTCCCCTCACAGTAAGAAGGTTCCTAAAAGGATGGCGTCCCTCTTGGAGATGAAAGAAATCTTCCGCAATGCTGATGCAGTATGCTTTGATGTGGACAGTACAGTCATCAGGGAAGAAGGCATTGATGAGCTTGCGAAATTCTGTGGAGTTGGAGATGCCGTCGCAGAGATGTATGTATATTTGCTGTTTACTTCATAGGAATAGTAGTAAAAAATAAGCATGGATAAGGTTAATCTGTGACAATGAATTTGCAATAGGGATTAATTCAACTCTGTCATAGAGATTATTACAGTTTAAAAAGGATTTTAGGAATAATAAGTGGAATTAATGCATAATGAAGTAACTTCTTTTGGAATTGTGAAGCCACTCAACAAAACTATACTGACATAAATTCTCTAATGTAAATTTCTTTGATAGACTAAGATCAAGCCTCATTAAACTTGGCTAAGTGCTAGCAAACCTTATTATGAGATGGAGGGGAGAGGGGACAATTCTCTTAACACTTCTCTGAGGCTGATGTTGTTTCCACTGAAGCTTGTAGCAAAAGTTCTGTTACTTTCAAAGAGCAGCACCTGGGCTGCAGTTTAGGGATACTGGTCCCAGTGGCTCAGATGCACTCAGAGGGAATGAAGCAGTTTTCCTTTGCCTCACTGGTTCTCACAAGAGCTCCAATCTGTGGAGATCTTCTACCAGTGGTTGCTACCAATCCTTGCAGTGTACCAATCTTCTCCTTTACCACACAGATATGGTATAACCTAGAACCTATGGTCTCTTACCTTGTTCCTTGTCATTCTTCTTTAACTAACTGGTCTTGGGAGAAGCCTCAACTTCTTAAGCATCACCGATTTGTTTTCTCTGGATCACAATTTAGGACCCGCAGAGCTATGGGTGGCACTGTGACATTCAAAGCAGCTTTAACAGCACGACTAGGTCTCATACGTCCCTCCTATGAGCAAGTGCAAAAACTAATATCTGACAACCCACCTCAGCTAACACCAGGAATAAGGTAAGAAGAATTTCAAATGATCCAATGAAAAAGTCTTCTGCATGTGGCATAGATCAACAAAATTCTGTGATGTTACTGAGGCTGTAAGACCATAGAGCTGGTTTAGATTGCCTTCCTACTCCATTTCCATGTTGCTTGTGTACAAAGCTTTTATCAAGAGCTTATAATGGCCTGAGTCCATGTCAAGTGGCTAAGCATCCACGTAAAAAGAAAAGCCTTAGGTGTTAACTGGCATTTTGGCTGGCAAGCTCAAATTCTGGCTCAAGGATTAAACGGGCATGGAAAATAATCTGTTCAATCACATCTGGTTTTTGATGAGTGATGGAACTGGGAGGAGATTTAATACCCAGTATGAACTACTGGCTTGGTCTATTCTGCAATTATATTACCTCTCTCTTACAGTTCTGTGTGCAGTCACACCTCTGGACTCAGCTTAGGGGATCCATTGTTCAGAGCTACCCATCCTGTACTGAAGTCCCTAAAAAAGTATTAAAAAATCATTAAGGGGAAATACATATATATGTGTCTATTCATTCATCCTTGGGTTTGGAATAAACATTAACTATTTAAACTGAAAAGTTTTTTCCTATTCAAATTGTTTCAACAATCGGAAAGAATTTCCTTACTACAAAACCTGGCCATAGCTCCAACTCTAAAATATTTTTAGCACATACAGTAGTTTTAGACGATATTGTGCTTGTATTTTCTCCTTGAAATGAAGCACATGCTCCGCTTTTTCTGTAGAAGGCATAGCTCGATATAACTACAAAGAGAACATTGTTTCCTTTAGAATCACATGATTTTTCTTTTCATCCCTTCCCTTTCTTCCTCCTTTTCTGTGTAGCTTGCTTTAAGCCTCCACTTTGCTTTTTAGTATTTAGCATTTCTGCTGTTACTGCTACCACTTCTACTGCTCAGCATTGTTGCATGCTGATCTTCCTGCTTCTAGAGCCAAATCTTGTAAAACTTTTAACTGCCTTCAAGCCCCATTGACATTAACTGGGTCTGAAAACTGCTACTTTTTTGATTCCTTTTCTGTAGCTGGTGCCCTCTTCTAAAGATGGCATTGACGTCCAGTGTCTGGGGAACCAACTCCAAGTTAGAAAATGTTTGCACTTCGCACACTTTTCAGCCCACTTTTGCATTTTGGTGCAGTGGCTTTATCTCCCCCACATCCCCTACTTTTTTCTGCATTATAAATTCATTTTCTTGCTGTTGTTTTACTTCACTTCAGAAAAGAATCTGAACTGGATCTGCTCTCATCTGTTCAAGGGAACTAATGTGAACAGTATGAAAGTGTAAAGAAAACATTTCTAGGGAGTGCTTGTTTCTGAGCAACTAAATACCTGTTTGTCTCTAGACATGATGGTTTTGTTCAGCTCTTTTCAAGCAAGGTGTATGCACAAACTTGCAAGGGAAAGAAGGAAAAGCTTTGGGCAGCAGAGATGGATGGAGCTGGAAAGCAGCACACATCCTAACTAAACTGGAATAACACAAAGTATGGGCAGTCTTTTTTAGGAAAGATGTATTTTAACTTTCTTGTTATCCCTAGATGCTGCCAGGCACTCACGCTTGGTGACTGCTCTTTCTTCTCAGGGAGCTGGTGAGCAGACTTCATCAACGAGGGGTCCAGGTCTTCTTGGTCTCTGGGGGGTTTCAGAGCATCGTGGAGCACGTGGCCTTGCAGCTGAACATTCCAACAGCAAACGTCTTTGCCAACAGGCTGAAGTTTTACTTTAATGGTGAGATGCCCTTAAAGTCTCTTTTCTCTGCTAATGCCACTTTTTTGGTTCAAACTGTCAGATATTGGGCTACAGATACTGTCCAGCCTACATGACCTTGTTACCAATCCAGCTAGCTCCAAGTAGGAAAATTGCAAGACCTTACCAAAAACATGAGTTCAGGTCATTTTCCAGACATAGGAAATAGAGCTGTAGTTACTTTTTAATTGCAAGCTGTGCCAAAGGTAAAACCCGTTACAGCTGCTGACAGCAGGGTTTCATTTTCTCTTGCTCCTTCAAGTTAAAAGAGTTTATTACACTTACCTGCTTTCAGAGGCAAACTTCACTTTCAGTGACTTTGAGGTACGTATGGAGACCGATGTACTTTAGTAGAGCTGCTCTGGACTTTAAGCTAGTGTAATCAAGCAGAACTGTAGTTAGTGAGGTTGTTTCTTACTCAGTGTTTCACACACTATCTATACATCATACTGGATGCTGCTTTTGAAATGTTTACACCAGAATGACTGGACCAGAGTGACTGGGAATGGATTTGTAACACTACCCATACAGGGTTTCTACGTTTGCCTTAGCATTTCAGCTCTTTGAAAATATCCCCACTGAAGACTTGGGTAAAATCCTACTTTTTACGTTTACCTTCTAATTACTTTTTTGGGATGCTGATATTGTGAGGCTTACAGGACTGCATGTAATTAGCTGTTTTCTGAAGTGAAGACCGTAGGCATATCTCTTTCTTCATTTACAAGAAAATATGCTATGTGTCTAACTTGTCCTTCCACTGTGTTCTAGGAGAATACGCAGGATTTGATGAAACACAACCAACAGCTGAATCAGGGGGAAAAGGAAAGGTTATTACTCATCTGAAGGAACAATTCCACTTTAAGAAAGTAGTTATGATTGGAGATGGAGCTACAGACATGGAAGCCTGTCCCCCTGCTGTAAGTATTAAAGAACTGGAATCTAAATTCCTTTTGAGCAAATCCTTTGGGAAAAAAAAAAGTGTGGTTTGAATTCTTTATAGGACTTCAGGGAAGATCTTTAGCACTTCCCACAGCCTAAAAGAGATCTGTGTAGGTAATTTTCCTCTAGAAATCCTGCATCATGCAATGGTTGATTTCTCTCAGTTCAAACAATCTCAGTAAGGGTGTCACCCTCTAAGCGAGGATGCTGGCTGGGTCTAGCAGGACTGTGTAATAGTCTAGCGACCTGTCTCAAATCAAGCTGGTATTATCATGTCTGCCTTTCCCCTCTATATCTGCACAGTAAGTGCTTGCTTCTGTGCAGAGGTCTTACCCTGCCAAGATCCTGGTTCTGAACGCTGGTTAATGGTGCTTGGCATGAAGGTCTGGCACAGATCTGGTGCACGTTTACCTGATATTGGCCTAGCAAGAGGGTTCATCTCACTGTACAGTGATGATACCTTTGAAGATATCAGCCCTGACAGGGTGAAATAATAAAAAAATGAATAGAAAGACAACTTTTATTAATGGTCATTTCAGAGAGGAGAGATCTTAATTCCATCTCCCCTTTAGCGCCTTTCTCTACATGGAAGTACCCCAATACCCCTTCTTCGCCAGTGCTGAAGGACAGATATCCCAGTGCATGGAAATGCACAGGAACAAACTCTGAGAGCTATTCTGATGTGAGTTACGACAGCTGGTCCCTTAGTATTAAATATGTGCACGACCAAAGCAGCTTAGTATTTGCTGAGTGCTTTCCACCTGAAGGCAAAAAAGCAGCAGTGGAAATTTTGAACACTGCACTTTCACTGCAGACGGTTTTCTAAGATGTAGAAATGATGATTGTTCCTGGTTAATGATTGAAGATGTGGTTAATGTTTACTTTTGGTATCTATCAAATGAGGTAAACAGAGTTAAGATAAACAGTATACACATAATTGTGAGATGCTGCATGCATGTTCGAATGTTAACTCATTCTTGAATAGTAAGGCTTTATGTTGCATCACATTTACATCAGATTTTCAGTAAAATCTCAGATCTGAACAATCTTGGAAGTTACAAGGCAGAGAGATACAACTTTCCTATTGGAACAAAACTCTAATAACCAAAGTGGTGCAAAATTAAATGTTAATGAAGTTCTTGTTAATAAATTTGAAAAATGAACATGCAAAGTAAAAGAGGGGAAGAGGCAGGGAGGAAAACCGTAATTTTAAAAACCAATCTTAAAAACAAACGTAATTGCTAAGAAGCTCCGTTCCTTACATGAGACTGCAATAATATATGTGCCCATTCTTTCTGTTTTGCCAGGACTGCTTCATTGGATTTGGAGGAAATGTAATCAGAAAGCAAGTGAAGGAGAAAGCTAAATGGTACATTACTCACTTTGACGAACTGCTAAAGGAACTGGAAGAACGATAAATTATACAGTAAAATAATATATTTAACAACTATAAATCCATTATACAATGCAATTAAACATATATTTGTTTGCAAAGTTGTGTTCTGGATTTTTTAATGATTCTGGGTGTTGGGTACCTTCCTCTCTGGCCTGAAATTTGTGTTGCAAATGGCACCATTCTACTCACATACTTTGTAATGAAAACGATAAGATTTTTTAAACATCTTTTCCAAGGTAGAAGATGTCAGTTGATTATTCACTCACAAGTGAAGACCAAAGGTAGGAAATTATCAGTAAGTTAAAAATACCTTAATGGATTGGCCCCTGGTCAGTACTGCATATCTATTGTTTCAGAATCATTGAAGCTAATACCTCTACTTATTTTGGGTGGCAAAAGAAGAATAAGGGGGCCACAAATGAGAAGTTTGTCTAATCAATAATAATAATAATAATAATAGTAATAATAATAATAATAATAACCAATAATATAGTCTAAAAGGTAAACGGTATGGTAAGTACTTTCCATTCCGAAGAATCTCAGAGTTAGGTTAAGCAGTGAATGGATAGGTAGGAAACATTACCAAGTATCTCTGATTTCATTAAAATATGGCTACAGGAGAACCCGAGATGTCATCTGTTACTCAATATCACTGTTACTCAACCTGTAGTCTGAAAGACAGGAGATGCAAGCAAATCTGAGATATATGCAATATTCATCAGTGTCCAAGAAGCATATTTTAAGGTGAATGATATAGTGGTTCCCATACCTCATTAAAATACTTTAAACTAAACTCCAAAATGGTGATTTTGTAAAATGGTCACGCTGTTCACTTAACTGTTTTATTTATTTAACAATCCCCCACATCAACCTGTAACTGGATGGAAGCTAATTCATCAACCTTTAAAAAAAATGGTCTACTGATTAAGAAAATACTGTGAAACTTGTCTAGTCTCTTCCTCTGCCTCAAGTGTGGATCAACCACCCTTGAACTGTTTGTGCTAAAAATGTCTCACCTGTTCTACGTACTTCTCTGAGCTTCAGCTAACGAATCCTAGTTTCTTAAGGATTTGTCTCTTGTGGCTGCAGTGTCTGATCCAAGAGGGTCCTTATACAGAACATACTTGATAAATGCTGCCTTTTTGTCAGCAAGTTCCTGACAACTCTTCAGAGGATGTCTTTTTAACCAGCTTTGCTGACACATCATGGTACTTTTATTTCCCTGGCTTTTAAGAATCCCACCTCTGATAATGTGAAAAGCTTTACTAATGTTAAAACATATGTCACATCTTCCACTTCCTTCCATCCACGTAATACCATCACAGGAGAAAGATGGGTAGATATGACATGATCTGTCCCGGAAAAAAATCCATGCAGGCTCTTATGTTCTGGGTGCTTACAAACAGTCCCAGTATTTTTCTGGAAACTGAAGATCAGGCTGAGTGCGCCAATTCTCTTCCATCCCACAACATATTTCATAGATAGGAAGAGAAACAAGGGATGTGCCTACCCTCCAAAAGCTCACACTGTCTCCACAACATAATCACAGGTTTTCACAACTTGCACTAGATTTCCTTAATTTAATAAGATTAAATCAAGGTGCAGTGAGAGAGCTCCTGTCCAATTGTTTAAGCATCACCAACAGTTAAAATAAATACTGGTTCTGTCCATTCTGCGACATCATCAGAAAGGATGATGATAGGGGAAAGAGGCGTTAACAAAGCCCCAGAAAGTGATGAATGGCAGCTCTCAGTGATGCCATCTAATGTTTTTAGGAAAAAAACTGAGGCAATAATTGCTTGAAGTTACAACAGCATTTAAATACTAGAGAAGTAGAAGGGTTAAAAGAAAACAAATCCAGAAACAAACTTCCGATGGCTTTTTAGAGAAAGGCAAGACATACAAACAGCTATAATGAATATCTGTATCCAGAGTTTAAAAAACTTCACAAAAGCCAAGACAGACAATAGTTGGCAGGCTGCTCCCCAGAACTCTTCTGGGGGTATTAAAGATGATCTCTTTTAAATTCTTCCTGAGAAAAATCTCAGCCAGCTCCAAGAGCAGCTCATGTACAATCATGCTTTTGTTTAGTCAAGACTGCATGAGTAGAACAAGTATAAACTCTTTCTGCTCATTCAGTGTGTTCCTCTGCAATTCTACAGTTATGAAGCAGAAGTGTTTCTATTTGCTGCAGTTTTCTATTAAATTAAAAGGCCACAAAAAAACCCCAAACCCTAACATCCAGCTAATCAGCTATAGCTACAGGCCCTGATCCTACAAACACTGTGACACGCTTCATTTCAAGTATATGTAATTTCACTAATGCCACAGTCAGAAGACCGTGCAGGAGGTTCTGTGCCATAGAGATGTTAACATTCACGGCAGAATCTTCTGCCAGTCTGAGTGCTATGGAAACATGGTGTTGTGCCAATGATTTCCCAAGAGCTCTTTAGGTCTGACTGGTTTGAAAAAAAAAACCACCCCCCTTCCACTGGGCAAATATCAAGCCTGACCTCTAGTCCAGGAGGTAGCAAAAGGATTACTTAGCTTAGTCAGTGGCTAAGCTCTTTTGTCTGTAAAATACTGGAAAAAAATAGGAGGGAATAAAGCAGCGTGAGGGAAGTTTCAATGTTACAACCAAGCTACCAATTTACCTGAACATATCTCATCACAGTACAGCAAAGTCTGGAGAGCAGCACATGTCAGGCAAGTAATACCTGGTCTTCAGGCAGGTCTCCTGACTAAGAGCATGGGGAGGCACACCGCTTCATATAAAGCCTTTTATTTTAATGCGATTATCCAGTGAGGCAGAATTGCTTTAAGTTATATATTCAATTTGCATGAGGGGACTTCTTAATAGAACAGTTTGCAGTCTTTTCTAGGAAGACTACAGGACAACTGAACTTGAGTTTTAATTGTGTCTTCATTACAGTGGAACAAGAATTGATAATTACCAGAGACCCTTCCAGGCATTGTCCCCCACTTTCCAACCACTGGAAAGTGACTTCAGTTCTGAACTCTACAAATTCTGCTCTAAGAAATGCTGAAGTATTGCTAGTCAAAGCAAGAAGGCAGACTTGGCCATGAAATTAAGAGGGAAAACCAGAACAGTGTTCACAACAGGGGAAAACCAACTTCAGAAAGGGCTCACGCAAAGGGAAGCAAGAAAAGATTGGCATTACTTATTTATCTACTGTGTTATGTTCGGTGAGTTTATACAGTTATCTGTAACTAAAATAACAGGAACTAATCTCTCTCTGATGACAACCAGAGCACAAGTTTGAAGCTCAGAACGACAGGAGGCACATTCATAATACATTACAACAACACTAGTGGGAATTCAGATCTTAGGTAGTGTATAAAGGCTGAAGAGACTCGTGCCGTATAATGTCATCCCGCAGAACATCCAGTTATTGCTTAGATTTCTTATTCATGCAAAACTTCATGGTCCTTAAACAACAAGAGCTCTGCCCGACTATTTAATTCCTAGTGCTCCTGGCTGAAGGTAAGAAACACGGATTGCATCAGAACCCACAAAATCCTGTAACTCCAAAAATGTTTTTCACCTTTTGTCTCTGACCGAGATCGCTGGTTATGAGGGGTAGGTTACAAGGATAATTCTCTAGGAACAAGAAATATGGGACGATGGTGGGAGAAATAACAAGGGCCGGAAGCTGATACTGTCATCCTTTTTTTCTTTTTTGCAGCTACAGTAGTCCCAAAAGTCTGGAAAAATGACAGCCCCAGATGACAGTACTGCTCATGACTGATTTACAAGAAGGAACAGCTGAGATGATGTACTTGGCCCACTGAGTAAGCCAAGCTGAGAACTTTCAGCTAATATAGTACAGAATTTTACTCAGTAAAATCCCATAATCAGTTGACAACAGGAGGAAAATATGAAAACAGACAAGAATCAGATCAAATATTGACTTTGTTCAAGATGAAATTCAAGCAAAGGCAAGAGTGCAGTGTATTTCACATGGGAAGAAACGAAGAAATCAGAGCTGAAAAATTAAGCATAATTTGTGGAGAAAAATCGAAGGGAAAAATATTTTGTATTGATCACCACAGCACTTAGGACCTCTAGAACACTTAGCAAAATGGGATGTAATGGAGATACTGTAAATTCATTCTGGAGGAGGAGAGCAGAATACTGGGAAATGCTGTCCCTGACACAGAGAAGTGATATTGGCTAACTAAGATGAAATATTCTATGCAATTATTCAAATTTTCCATAATAAACACTGCAAGATGAGAGAAAACACAGGTGTTGCAATACATATAAGGTGCCAGTAAAATGTGAAAATTAAAAGGATTTTATTGACTGATATGTTCTTCCTGAAAACTCATTGAAATGTACAAACTGGACATTCAGTAACTGATTTGTACATTCTGTATGTTACACTGATTCTTGTAGCCACTTTAAAGAGAATATTATTTTCACTTACAGGATGTTCACATCATTGCAGACACCAAAAGTGTTGACATTTTCTAGTCTAAAAGTGAAACCAAAATAGAACTGGACATAATGGTACACCGCTTTATGCCAATCCTATTGACTCAACATGCGCCAGTTTCACACATCAATTCATAAGTACCTACTGTACAGTTAGTGAAACACCCGACCAAGCATATGTCTGAAGTCATGAATGCTTATCAAATTAAACCCCTTTTCCTAGACTTCCAAGTTATTTGTAGAGATAAATGTATTTAACTGAACTTGATTCCCTGCAGAATGTTCAGACAACCACGTCTTGTCAGTATCTCTTTGAAAACTGTAGGTCATACTTCACAAAATTAATTTCAGGTGTAGATATCTACACAAATGTGCGATTAGTTTCAACAGGCTTCAGAGTCCTTGCAAAACAGAATGCCCTATTCTCTGTCTATAAGCTATCTCCTGACAAACAGCATTATCCTCAATTAGTGACTGCCTATTTGTAAATTTAGAGTTATTTACTGAGTTCAGGCCTGCTAGAACAGCTAGGTGTATTTCAGAGCTGCCTGAGGGCTTCAGAGCTTCTAATTTCAGAACTCCCACGTTTGTTTTTAAAATCTGCAGTCATTATAATGCTAACACAAAGGCCACAGCAACTGTAACACTCCATTCTGTTGCTGTTCCTGAACACCAGGCATTGCCTATGTAGCAGAAGATATTAAATACTGTATGCCATACTCAACCTGAGGAGCTGTTTCACAGAGGAACTCATATATGTCTTTGTACTTGTTTTCAATTAACCAACCCTTTAATTACAGTCCTAGATTTCTTTTTTTCCTGGTACAATCCTAAGAGCAAAACGTCATTAGATTCTGAAGAAAAGAGGTCTCTTTTATAAGCTCAATACAGTACTTTTATATTTCAGACTATGATATACAATGTATACCATAAATTAATTTAAGACAAATACTTGTCACTTTATCTATGTAGGCACAAGTAAATCAGTGACTTTACTGAAGCGGAGAAATCTTCAATGGTATCATGATTCTGGACTCCATTTCCTGAATAAGGGGCACTGAAAAAAAATTGAGACAGGGTTTAATTTCACTAACAGAGATCATTAGCAGTTCTGCACACTCAGTTTGAACAGGTATTATTGTCTTCAAATTACTCT